TGGATCATGAGATATATATATATACATTTTTTTTTATATGAGAGTTGAAGTCGGTATTTTTTTGCTAAAAATTACTTGTTCTCATTATACATTTAACCATGTAGACACATCAGCCAATGTTTCTTAAATAGCAGTTTACTTGAAATTTTCCATTGTTGTTATTTAAACTAGAGGGGATACGAAAGAACGGTTGTTCTTTTCCTCCACTCTCTAGCTCTGCACTAGAGTATACATATGTTTTACTGTGCGACAGAAGAAGGCAATAATATTGTAGGGGATTTCATACTTTACTTTTCTTCTTATTTCATTTATTACTTACAATGATGTACCAAGGAAATTATAAATAATTTAGCAATTTTAACTTAAACTTTAAAAATTTTACATCATACACATCTTCATTTTGAAGATATTTTCAGTGTAAAATTTTGCTTTTAAAAAATTTTTTTTTGAAGGCCAGGCTGGCGGCAACTCGAAGCTTTTAGGGGAGAGAGCGACGAGGAAAGGAGACGGGTACCGAGTCGCCCGTACTCGGAAACATGCTTTGTGCTCTCGTTCGTCTGAGTAATCCAAGTTGGCGGTTCACAGCTGACTACAATTGCGTACAAAAGAGTTTCTCTGTGTATGAATGCAAAGGGCAACACCAAAACAGAAATCGCCGATAATAACACCCGACTTGACGGTACAGACGCGTGTGTACTCGTCCTTTTTCTTTTCGCCCCCTCTCTTCCACATGCGAGCAGAATTGAATTCAATAGTTTAGCTGTGTAAAAGCAGTCAAAGCAACTCGAGTTTCCGTGTTTAAACGCGGACAAAGTCAGCTTTCAGACACGTCAAGTCTTGCTTTCAAGTCTGTTCGTTCCAAGGCGAAGGAGATAAGAGAAGGGAAGAGTACAGATGCCTCCATACCGTTTCAAGTTTTCTTGTCTCTTTGGATCTTTTCGTTGCTTCCCATTTTGACTGTGTTCACACAGAAAAACTTTTGTTGCTCATTTTCGGAAATTTCTCTTTTGGTGTTGCCCTTCGCGTTCACACAGAACAATTATTTTGTACACAATTGTTCTTGTCAGCTTTGAGGGGCTAAGCCTGCGTTCAAACACGGAAACTCGAGTTTCTTATTATCGGCGATTTCTCTTTTGGTGTTGCCCTTTGCATTCACACACAGAAACTCTTTTGTACGCAATTGTTGGTGTCAGCTGTGAATCGCCAACTTGAATTACTCAGACGAACGAGAGCACAAAGCGTGTTTCCCGAGTACGGGCGACTCGGTACCCGTCCCCTTTCCTCGTCGCTCTGTCCCCTACAAGCTTCAAGTTTCCGCAACAAAAGTTTTCGTGTCTGAACATCGACTAACTGGGATTACTCAGACGAACGAGAGCACAAAGCGTGTTGCCCGAGCACGAGCAACTCGGTGCCCTTCCCCTTCCTCGTCCCTCCCTCTACAAGTAACGAGTTCCAGCGCCAAAAGTTTCTGTCTGAACCTAGACTTAGGGCCGTTTTCACCATCTCTGGTTAACACTAATCCCCAGTTAAGCATCGTTACTGACTCCATTCACTTAACATACGGTCGGTAACGTCGGTAACAATGTTTAACTGGGGCTTAGGGCCGGTTTCTCCATCTCTGGTTAACACTAACTCCCCGGTTAAACATTGTTATCGACGTTCTAACTCCACGCATATAACAGGGAGTCGATAAGGTCGGTAACGATGTTTACCGGGGGATTAGTGTTAACCGGAGATAGAGAAACCGGCCCTTAGTGTTAACCAGGGATGGTGAAAACGGCCCTTAGGGCCGGTTACTCAAAGCCTGGTTGACACTAATCGTCGATTAAACATCGTTATCGACGTTACCGACACCATGTTATAGGCATGGAGTCGAAGACGTAGATAATGCTGTTTAACCGGCAAGTAGTGATAGTGTTCAATGACTGGTTATCACTACCACTACACTATCGACGATTTCGACATCATGCATGTAACATGTGATCGATCAAGCAGTCGTTGTCTTAACCGGAGCTTCTACCTCCGATTTGTGATAATCAGACATTGAACAACCGGCCCTTAAAGAACCAAGAACTTGTCAATGGCCACTCTCATCATCCCTGACATCTGGAAGGTGGGGAGAGTGGTCCCACTGCTCAAACCGGGGAAACCTGCCAACAAAGGAGATTCGTATCTTCCGATTACACTCCTTTCCCCGGTAGCAAAGACACTCGAGGCCTTGCTACTCCCGTACTTCACAAACCACCTGACCCCAGCGAAGCATCAGCATGGTCTCCGTAAAGTGCATAGTACAACAACAGCACTTAACGCCATAAACACTCAGATAACTCGTGGCCTTAACCGTAACCGTCCCTGTGAGAGAACGATTCTAGTAGCGTTGGACTTGTCAAAGGCGTTTGACACCGTCTGCCATTCCACGCTACTAGAAGACATAGAGGCCTCCTCTCTCCCACAGAGGCTCAAACGGTGGTCGGCAAATTATCTGAGTGGTCGACATTCGTCGGTAATGTTTAGAGACAAAACGAGTAAGCAGCGAAAAATAAAACAGGGGGTTCCTCAGGGTGGTGTCCTTTCCCCGCTGTTTAACTTTTACATTTCAAAGCTCCCTCAACCACCAGAGGGAGTCTCGATTGTCTCCTATGCCGACGATTGCTCGATCATGGCGACTGGGAATGGAATTGATGACCTGTGTTCGAAAGTAAACGGCTATCTCTCCGAACTTTCTCGCTTCTTCACTGCAAGTGTCTAGCCCTCTCCCCTACGAAATCCTCCGCGACCCTGTTCACAACCTGGACGAAGGAGGTCAGGCTACCGCTGGGGATTCACGTCGATGACACACCAATTCCGACGGTGAATAACCCCAAAATACTCGGAGTA